ATGATAAACGGCCAGTAAGTTTTTCCACTCATAGAGTAATTTTTTTTTGGAGGCACCAGCTTTGTTCAACGGATTGCATGCATTTGCATCAGACATTCACTCTATCCAGTGAGATCGTCCTCTGGATCTAGACGTCTGGCGAAACTGTGGCATCGAGAGATCAGAGACTTGGTCCTGCGAAAAGAGACAGTCCACATGTCGAGAAAATGAGAAATGAACTCAATGTTGATGCAGTCTTTCCTAAGTTTAAAGGAAACATCACGTTAAAGAAAGACGACCGGAAGCGTATATGCAGATGCCCAAGTTTGCCTGTGAATTAGGAAAGAATTCGAAGTGGACGCGACACAAACTTCGCGCAGCTGGAGAATGAAATTCGTTGAATAAGCGGCATAACATGTGAACATCGAGATAATTGACACAAGAATCTTCTTCATCAGAATTGCAATGGTCTGATCCGTTACCCAGACCATCCATACCCTTGCCACGGCTCTTGACTTGATCATTACGACGGCAACTCCAATCCTCACAAAGTCTTCACATCTTGATGTATCTCTCCATTAGGTAAAGATGATTCTCGTAACATGATCCGTAGTTTTATGCTTGATACGATGAGATTTCTAGATGTTTAACCAAATCCCTGCTGATGTTATAAGAGTACAAATCTAGGCTTGCATGATGCATGCATCAAAACCCAAATGACTTGAGTCGCATCGCGATAGAAGACTGAAAGAGCTCAAGAGATTAAATCGTGAATTTGAACTAATGAAACTATATCCCCCACCGGCGACCTCCGCGAGAATCCATCATTCATACTCGTGCCCTGTCCTTTTCCATTGCTCCTTCTCAGAAGAGCAATTAGCTTGATGTTCACTTGTTATGTAACTTCAGACATATGTAAGGTCTGAAGTTACTATTTTGCACTATCGATCTAGTGATCTCAAAGCGTCCAACTCAAGAGAAAGTAATGTCTTTCCCGCAGGTGCCAAGCGTTGAGCTGGGAGGTAGGGAAAGCCTCCATACGAATGTGGATATGGCCTGTCAGGCGGTCTTCGCACACTGAAAAACTTGTCAAATTACGCCATTATCTGATTTCTTGATTTTCAGGAAGAGCTCTAGCAGGGCCCTTGTGAACAAAAGGGCGTGAGAAGATGATCTTGCTCGTGGGCTTGCGTTGCACCTATAAATGCTGTGGTTTCGACACCGAGCTGTAGGGGAGATACTCTTACTTCTGATGCCTGCCGATCAAATCGGAACAACTAAAATATTAGTGCGAATGAATCTGGCCGGTTGCGGAGATTAAACGACCAGAATTGACTCTTCACGATCGAAGAAAGTCATGTGATGAAGAAGGGCAAATAGTATGAACAATTAGGAGCAGAGCAAGAAGTAAGATAGAAAATGTTAGAATCGAAGGGAAATGGAGGGGAGCTCTACACGGAGAACTTCCAAATCTCGCACTCTTTGGATCGTCCGCCAACGGAGAATCTTTTGGGTCTCTCAGCAGGGAAGATATGCATGCACGGAGGCAATGGAGCAAGCGCAGGTGATCGCAGAATTCAACGCACGCGATGCTGGGATCTACCGACAGGACATGCACACCGAGAGGGGTTTGATCGTCGATCCACATTCGTTTTGATAACTTCATTAGCGTATGAAGCTGCTGGTCACCACCTTTATGACAAACATCAGAAGCTGCTGTAGCCATTCAGGTCTGCTTGAGAATCTGGAGATTCTGTGTAATAGTGTATCACATCTCACGCCAATTATTATCCACAGACCTCGAAATGTCACATGCACACGTGAGGAACTCGATAAATCAATAGAGAGAATGCTGATTAGAAACAGAGTCAGGATAGAAGGCCCTAGTGGAGTCGGAGTAGTTTGGTGAGGTCAGAGTGATGCATGAGACCCTCTGGCTGCTGTAATTCTGAAGGAGAATCCAGAAGGTTGCTGGTTCTACGGCCAATTAAATCTTAGGCACTTTTTAAATATGTGTTAAACCGAACTTAATGTTAAGTTTTTCAATAAATATTGTTACAAAAGTGAAATAAAGAGAAAATGCACTTTTAAACAAGATTGCCGATTAAACAATTTCCGATCTGCGTGAAAGTCATTGTCAAGTTCGAAGGACGGAGTGTCACGAACGACAGGCTCAGAGAGACACATTTTAATATAACCTCTATCTCTGACATATATAACCGTTATATGTGTTCCCGTTTTGTCACCTGCGACTATTCTCTCTATAATTAGATGGGTTTTATTTGCCCGTCTCTGATCGCTCATACGATGCTATATCACAGAGATGAGATTCCTGTGTCCCTATTTGTGAATTTCAAGCGTAAACGAAGAGAAGTTAACGGAGACGTGTCCCACACTGCCTATTACATACGATTGGTAAGGTCGCAGTAGAATGGATGAGCACAGAAGATATCACGAGGCTACTTTGGGTCGATGACGCCATCGAGCGTCAGGGTCGCTGTCGGATAATGTCTGATACATCAGGTCCCTTCATACACAAGAGCGTGGGATATTTTCCTCACACCTTGGATCAGTTCGGCACTCGCCGATATTGAGTTGAGTGCCCCACGCATAAGAGTAACAGAAAGATGGAAGAAACATCCGATTTTCGAACATTCACATGTAGATGAGTTACACACGGCCGCACGAAGTAGACTTATTGCAAGGACAAGGTATTGAATATTGTCTGAAGGGTTATTTTATATTCACAATGATTCATGCATGAGATCTTGTACGGCGAGTAGAGATCAGTGCAAATGGGATGCGTCTAAAATAATTTTAGACCTCCGCTTCTGCGTTATCTCCGCATTCCAATCTGAGATCTTGTTCATGGTATTGTTCGTTGTTTGGGTGATGCAAAATTCTAATTGTGGGCAATTTCAAGATTGATTATTCATGACCGACAATCAAACGCCGCAGGGGCAAGAAGATCTGTCGCAGGATCGGCAGAGTTCTGGCTCTGCGTTATTTAGGGTCTACTCTTACGCACTCAGTATTCTAGGAAATTTGAGGTTTACAGATTTCATAAGAGAAGACAATACTTTGAGTACATGGAGGCTATTCTGAAAAGGAGGATTGCTGCAATCAGGAAAGTCCAAGTTGACAATATCGGTGATGCAAACGATTTCGAAAGGGAGCATGTCTGAATCCATCATGAGAGTGCCAAGGCCGGTGTCAAGTCTCTCTTCTCGGACGATGGAGTGACGACGAAGGGAGTGGAGATGGAGATGCTTCAAGACGATGAGGACAGGGAGATTTCTATGTGGGACTCAGCTGGCCGATATCTCTTGTTTCGCAGCACAAACCAGACTTCCAGACACGCCTTCGTTTTCAGCCCCTACAAGCTACAAACATAACAAGGCGACTACCATCTACCAATGTTTCAGGACGAGCTGAAGCCGTTGCTGCGCTTCATCGCCTGCAATCCCCAGAGTGACAGTATTCTCCCTCATGTTGTCCTCCTCCTCCCACACAAGCATCGCCGAAGAATGATGGGTTTGACAAAGAAATCTACATTAAATGTCTCAAGGATGATGTGACAGATGTACAAAAGATTACTCGGACACATCTCGTCAAACACTTTTTTCTTGTCAGTACAGAAATGCCGGAGAAGAGTCCGCACGTGACAACACTACTAGTGACCTTCCATAGACGACAGGTTCGACGGAAAGCATATATTGCTACCCTGCTCTGACAACCTCCGAGCCCTAGAACAGCGTCCCATCTGGCCGTTTCTTTTGAGTCCTTCAGGCTATGTGAAGCAAATGAGAGTCTCTGGACAAATTTCAATCCGGAGGCAAGATATTGGGCGGAGTTTCTTCATGCAGCACTTCACGGTGATCGGAAGGGTGCTCTGATCGTGGTCAGGCGCAATTGCTTGACGCAGAACTTTCTGAGAGAGCTGACTGGCGATATGCATAGATTCGACAGTGAAGAACCATACGAAATGAATCTCAAGCGCGGAAAATAACTAAGCAGCCAGAGTTGCTCTGCGACGGTGATCAGAAAGGTCCAGGACTGGCCCACGAACTCTTGGAAAACACTTGAGAGAGAAAAATTGGAAATCTAATGAGTGACTTCAATTCAGACAAAGTACGCAAATATTTTATGGCCATGATAATATTACACGTTCCGTTTCATCATAATGTGATATTTTTTATATTTTTTATAATGTCACCTTTGAAGATTTGTGCATGATGTGATATTGTAAAAAAATAGATAAAAAATCAAAATTACAATATAAAAAACAAAAAAATAAAAGAAAAATTTCAAAGTTTTTGAATGTAATTCAAAACTGTGAATGACAACTTATCATAATGTGTCATTGAGATCCGGTAGAGAATTTTGACTACAAACAAAGAAATTTCTAATGCCACGTTGTTTTAGTGATGTCAATATCCAACACCGATTCTAATAAATTTGTCATGAATTTTTTCCATTCCTAACCATTTTGTGTAAAATTGAAACAATAACAAAATGTATCAAATCAAGTATCTAAGCAATGACAACTTTTTACGATTATGTAATGCAATGTGAGGGTTCATCGTTAGATAGTCGGAAAGACACAATGTTGATCCACCAGCAAATGGTCGCGAAATTGAAATTTTGAATCATCAACATTGTTCAAGGGGGCGGTTTATGATGCTCTGAATAGCATTTCATTTATCACAGGTCCGGCTTTTGATCTTTTTGTTATTACAATCTTTCCGTCCAACTGTCACATACAATCTATCTATATTTGATATTATCACATTTACATTATGAATTTTGGAAAAAAATTGTGATATTATCAAGGGTGATAACAACGAGGGAATACTACACCAGAAAAATCAATTTCAAACTTTTAGGCGACAATATCAATGTGTTCTTTTAACAAATGTGACATTATCAAAGCTAGGTTGTATTTCTTTCATTATTGTACTCATGCCAGTTGTCACAATTAATATAACAAATTTTATGACACTACAAAAGTACAACATTTGTCTGAATCAGATGGGTTTTTTTCGGGGAACGAGATTGTTAGTTTCAGCTTTCCACGTTACAATATCTGAGAATCTTGTGCTAGCAAAGCCGTTTCGGATTCCTTGTCTACGTGGAGGGCCAAACCAGCCTGAGGCTGCAGAAGTAAGTGCTTGGTCACCTGGTCGTCTATATCATATATTATATATTATCGATTTGTTCTGTTCATGAAGAGGTCCATGTCCTGCATAATTTGAACGACACTTATTCAACTTACACCGCAACCAGTAACTCTCGCCATATGCAGGAACCACTGTAACTTACATTTGATCTGAATTTCCAGTCAACCTCCTCCCCGTTTGGAAAATGATACTATTTCCGCTCCTACTGCCAGCGCCGCCAGCAAACAAACAAAGATCAACATTCCTCAGACCTAAATATGGATGATTTTATCACTTTATAAAGTCAGAATTCGAAAATTTCAACTAGAGGTTTTGCTTGATAGAGTTTAAGTTCATACATTTGCTAACGATCGCAGTCAATAGATATATAATTGATTTTCATTTCTTGTCATTACTTATTTATTTCATAGAATGTTTGAAATTTTATGAAACAAATGTTTTAAAATTCAAGTTAAATGTGACATTTTCATCTATATTGTTTCAAAAATAATTTAGAGATTGTTCAGAATACTCTATCTAGGAATGTACAATACCAACAAAGAAGAGTGATTAATTCGAGGAATACAATAAATATCTATTTCTACAAATCAGAGAATAAACTCATTCGATGCATGAAAGGAAGCGTGTGGGAACTCAACATCAACTGATGAGGTGTTGGACGGAGCTCCATTCCCGATGAGAACTCGAGCGAGTAAGAGTGCGCCGTGAAAGAACGATATGCATACTCGCCACGTGCTTGATTCTCTGTAGGCCGGTAGCTGGCTCAGGATGTGGGGTCACCTTGAGATCGCTCCGTCGTCGTATCAGGTCCATGTGTCACGGGCTTCAACCAGCTGTTCCAAGTCGACTGATAATTCCACCACGCTTCGTTCCTCTCCTCGAATTCGTATACGTAGCCCAGGGCGCGAGTGTCCATGGCGTCCCTCACCTTCACTCTGACCACGTTCTTCGTCTCGTCATAGAACAGGAACTCTGCGTCCAGAAAATCCGGGTCTGTGGGATTGGCCCTGCCCTGACCTCCGAGGGGCCACAGTTTCCACAACCTGTCAATGTTCCCATGGTGCGCGTAAAATACAGGATCCTTTCCAGCTGTCGGAGGCGTACGTAAGTCCCCGCCGACCCACCAATGGATACTGGCGTGACCCGTGACCTCCAATGAGCCGCCTCCTTCATATGGTAAAACACGCTTGCCCCCGGCTCTGAGATCCCTTCCCAAAAAAATTCGGCTGGTGTTGGATTTGATCACCATTACGTCGTGCATAACTGCTACATTTCTAGCCAGAAGCAAGTCTTTTGGCCTGTAAGGAACATCCATCGATTCGGCCCCTGTAAGTCCCAAGTCTACCGGCAAAGCTGGGAATTCAGGTCTCAGCGAGCGAGCCGCATGGAAGAGGGGGGAATCCGGGTCCGCATAAATGGCAGGGAAATACATGCCAGACTTTGAACATTTGTTGCGGCCTATGATGGCTTCGCCGTCATGATCCCAATGCCAGAAGTAAATAGTGAAAGTGGGATCGCCGAGCAATGTCTGCAGAATCCGCTCGTGGAAGTAGAGGAACCAGCGATGCCAGGGGTGGAAGAACCAGGAGAAGTGAATATCGAAACCCTCTGAACCCGTGACGAAGGAACCTGTAGCATAAGCGCAGTGAAGCCTAGCCTGCTGAGCGAACGAGCGAGGGTCATCCGCCGGCAAAGCCTTCATCAGCGAGATCCCCTTCCTCAGTTTCTCCCCGTACTCCGACGCCTCATCCTCGTCTAAACAATCCATAGCCCTCCGGATTCGAACAGGTGCGGAAGCGTTATACTTCAGCTCGAAGTCCAGAATCGGCCCCCTGTACTCCGACGGACAACAATCATAATCAACCCCTGATAAGGAACCTCTCCTGCATCCTTCGAATGTCGTTTTCAGAGGAGCCCCGTAAATCACAGCGAGCTGTCGAGCCACGAGGAGAACGATTGCCAGTCCGCCAGGGCGACCCATCCTGAACTCAATTTCCTTCTATCGCTCTCCCTCCCTCTCTAGCACCGTCAGGCGATCCGACTACTCTCGATATACAGTTCCTCGGAATCACTTCCTCGTGTTTCTGTTATATAACCCAAGGCTTCTCTTCATTGAGGTTTATGGTATACGACGACCAGGCGTGGCTCAGCCCAAACCCGCAGCTCGAATAGCCTGGTTTTGTAGAGACATATTTGAGCCGACCTGTGCATAAACCCCAGCTGGCTTGTTGCTAGGAATCCATGCAGTGTCCTCGTCCTGGTTCCTCTCTGAGAGCGTGGTCCACAACCACGAACATGCCCCTAAAACATTGAGATTCTTCTACCTGTGCAGTTCAGCTGTTAAATTGCGCAATTATTGCTTCGTTTCACTGAAGTCCAAAGGTCATTTGACTTCTCTAAGACTTAAGAGTAATGACTGTTTTCACAGTCACTTGGTGGGGAATCCAGCGACAGGATTATGAGAAACAGAATATCACGACTTGTAGACTGGGCTGCCTGTCATGCATATGTGTTTTTGTCTTCATGCTTTTTTTTCAGCATGAAGACAAGTTATCGATTTTCTGGCAGGAAGATAAGTACACTCGTAAGAAGTACGATTCCAGGAATTTGTTTGTTGGCGTGCGGTATTTGTAAGAGGACTACGACTTGCTTGTCTTAGAAAAAGAATACTAGCGGTTTACATGAGCTCACCTTCATCCCACTTTTACGCTGTTAAAAAGTAGCTTTCGTCGGTGCATAAATCCCGGAATGAATTGTTTAAACATTGGATATAAGAAACTTAACCTCATAATACCGAAGAGAAATTATTTTGACAGGTAACCGACTGATGTGCTGCTAGAACTAGAGTGAGAAAACATGTATTGTAAGGTCTATACTTTTACGTGTGTTTAACGTGGTTGAACAATAGGCAGCTGACATAGCAAGAATGGTTCATGTAGGTAGGAATGTCCCATCCTACTTCCAACAACCCTATTGTTGGAACTAGGATGGAACATTCCTACTTGTACCGAAGGACATTATAAAAGTCTACCTCTACTTTCTTACGTATATTTCGTACCTCTATGTTCCTACTGAAAGAACTTCGAAACGACACAGACCAACTTGAGGATCAACATCAGAAATTGCAGCAACATGCACATGAAGATTGATATGATAAGACTTTTCAAAATATCTGATTTTTATGGATTTTTTTGGCTTTCGCACAGAAACACATCAATCAAGCATCCAACTTGCCGTTTTAATTTCGCATACAAGTCAAAAATTGACTTAAGTCCATCGTTGTGCTAAAACGTTACAAGCAGCGAGAATCAACTGACACCTTGCAATGCATTCTATATCATAGTTCAGATTGTTGTGTACTTGTTTATGCTTAAGGTTTTTGGACAATCAAATTAACCATTATCCAAAATTGATGTAAAGTTATGAAAATTTATGGTTTTTTATATAGATCGGATTCTCAGAACCTTTGATGTTAGTAGGCAAAACTTTAATATTAATTATTATCATTTTAGAAATTAAGACTTAAATTTGAAATGTTTTCTAGTCATTTTTTCAATGTTTTTTTTATCAAAATATATAATTTAATTCGATAAAAAAAAGGGTTTTTAAAATAACTAGAACAGCTCAGTCGAAGAAAGCATGGGACTGCGGATCCCAAGGTGGAGTGTTAGAATTTCACTTCTAGTGCTTTACAAATTTTCTGAAAATTGATCATAGAAACTACAAATAATTTAAACGACTATTTTTTTCAATGAAAATCATGATTGCTATTGCATATTTCTCAAAAATATTAAAAAAATTTATTATGATTGTATAATTTGATTTGTTTGATTTTGAAAATTAGCGATGAAAAAACGTAAAAATATTTGACGTAAGATCTTATTGATGTAGAGCTAGTCTAGGCAATCAGTATTTATAAAATATTATGAAAGATAAAGATTTTTATAATCAAAAACGGTGTTCGGAATAGATATTCGGGAATTGAATTAAAATCACACGGAGATTGCACCAAATACGTCTCTCCTGCTCGTGAAAGTATTTTATATCTTGCAAGAAATATCATGACACTGTTTTCTTACACGTGTCTGGATCAAGGATGCAGACTGATTCGTCTGCATCAGGGATCCGTGGGAGGTGCAGACCCAGAGAAAGGAACAAGATTATCTTGAAATCTACCGCAAATCAGGCTTTTAGATTCTGCTAGTCTAAGATCTCTCCTGTACGAGCGTACCTCTTTGAGGTGAGAGAAGGTGATAGTACTATGCTAGAAATTGAATGAGCTGGGTTGAATAGACCCACCTCTTGCAAATAGAGCTCGAAAATCTCTCATTATGGCCAACCACTAAAATTTTTATGGTTTTGACCACCAAAGAGAGACAATGAGAGGGATTGGAAGCACATAAAAATGAAAAAGTAGTGATGATCCAAGACCTGCATGGGAGTTCTTGCGTGAGGATGATGTCGATTGGAAAAATGCGAGAGCTCAAGCGATGTGTCAATTCTTCTGGGTCAATTGTGGGTATTCTAAGCGTAGACTACGCCTTTTCCCCTAGATATGTTAGTGTGGTATCCCACTTTTGGTAATTTTGAGGAAATTAAAACATTTTTGGAAAACTGTACCCCGGCAGCAATGTAAATAGCCTTCGGTGCATCAAAACAGAGTGAATTCGGAAGATCTCAGAGATTCTCGAGGAACCTCGTAGAATCTAGAAGTTGGGTGCAGCAGTAAGGAAGGGCACCACCCTCCCTGCAGTTAGGTTCCCTTCGGCGCTGCGTCCGCGGCAGTAGGGAAATCCTTCATATTTAGGTCAACCCCCGGACGCCTTGACTTAGTTAGGGTCTCGTTGGAAAAAACCCGACGCGCTGATTTCAACAAGCCCAAGAACGCCAACAACGGATGAGGACTCCGGGAGTTATGAAGGTTGTAAGATACTCAGCTCTTCGCCTGCGCACAGGCGGAGAAGTTTTGTCCTATGCGCGGACGAAGGAAGTTCGCCTGCGCACAGGCGAAATAGGGTTTTGATGTAGGCGCGAAGTTCGCCTACGCACAGGCGTGCGCCTGTGCACAGGCGCTTCGGCGTCGGCGGGAAATCCGCCTTGGGCCCTAGAAACGCGCCTTGTGAGGTAGAAACTGTACGGCGCCTTCTGCGCCAGCGCAACGCCGCGGACGAGCAAGGAGCCGCCAGAATAGTAAAATCCGTACGGACCGTACGGACTGTACGGACGGGACGGATGGATGCGCTCTCGGACGGACGGAGTTGCGGCGGCGAGAGCGCCGACGGAGAGACAAGGAACGGACAGTCTGGACGGAGTCGGTTGACCGCGGTCAACGCTTTCCGCGCCAGCGCATCGACGCGGACGGAATTCGCCTGCGCACAGGCGGGTGAAGTTCCGCGCCGGCGGAGAGTCCGCCGAGGAGTCCGCCTGCGCGCAGGCGGGAGTTGAACTTTTGTCCGACATGCGGACACACGCGCCGAGGCAGAGGAGGATTGGTTGAGGAGCGGTACGAACAAGTGTACCGCGCAAGGCGGAAAATCCGCCTTCACGTCGTCCTTCACGAGCAAGAGCCGACCATGACCTTCGACCGGGAGGCGGAGAGCGTCCCATTCTTGAATTCGCGATTCCATTCTCTAGTGCGAGCTGCGCGCGTCCACCTGCTGGCTGCTAAGCATTCTCGACATCGCCGCGCAGAGGATTTCTTGGTGATTGAGGGAGAAGTGAGTGCACGTGATTTGGAATTGCGGGAGATTTGAGTTTGCCGGGGAAGAAAGGAGCTCGAGCGGAGCGGAAGGAGAATGAGCGAGCGGGCGAACTCCAAGAACGCAATGACGAGACTGGGCCGATTGCGGATGCTGCCGCTCCGACTACCACAAAACGGGCTGCGCGCTTTCGAGGAGCGCCTGATAGCAAGAAAGCTCGATTTCTTGCTATGGGGATGGAACTACATCTGTGTGGATATGGTGCGCGAGTGGCTAGAGCCACAGGGACCACCTTCGCGCGGATTGCGTCCGCATGTCGATCGGTGGACGGTCCAAGATTGGGCGCAGGCATTGGGGAGATGTGCCGGCATGCCAGGGCACCTCCTCTTCGATAGTGAGAGCGTCAAGGTGACCAAGCAGGAAGAGGCGCAATTTGTGGAGCTGTTCAAGAAGGGGAAGTCTACCAAGAATGGGTACAAGACCCGCGATTACAAGGATCCATTCCGCCGGACTTTGTCTACGGCGCTGCTGCAATTACTGCAGCCACATCTCGCCGGCTACATCACATTGTGGCAGGTCTCTTTGGTGGAGTGCATCATCGAGGGAACTCCAATTCACTAGGCGAGCATCCTGCACAGGGTGATGCGACAGCACGCTTTTGAGGAGAAGGGGGGAACTCTAAATCATCTCTCTCCTTTCCTCATCAATTTTTATCGACAGCGAAATTGTTTGACCGCGGCGGAGCTTGCTCGTTTTCCACCGTTGTCCGTCGACCATCCCGGGAGGTATGTGCGGGAGAATGAGGTCGACACTGATGCACAGGAGTCGCCGACTTCTACTCCGTAAAGGCGGAGGGACGAGGGGAGAAATACTCCTGCAGCAAGAGTGCCGCGGAAGCAGCGATGGAGAGAGGAGTCCGAAGAGGAGCAGCATCAAGAACCCACGGCTCCCATTCGACCGCGGCCGTTGTACGAATCTTACAGCCGGCCGAAGCAGAAGGCGCGCAGGCTTGTGTTACAAGCCAGCAGCGCGAACAAGGCGACGATTGCGACGGAGAAAGGAAGTGCGTCGCCGGAGAAGAACGAGGGAGCGCAGACGTCTGCAGGAGCAACGGACCCCGCTGCAGCCTCGACGTACGAGAGGCCGCCTACAGGCCAAGGGCCTCCGGACTTACCACGTGCGTTGCGGACAGGTGTTCCGCCTGCGCATAGGCGAGCCTCGACGGACGGGCGAGCCTCGACGGACAGACGACCACAAGCGGACGTGGACCTACGCCTACGCGTGGGAAGAAGCAGTCCGCCTGTGCACAGGCGCTCGCCTGTGCACAGGTCACCTCCACACGTGCCGCCTGTGCACATGCAAAAATCACCCCCGTTCCAACGTAGGAAGGGGAAGGAGCCGGCGGAAGATCCACCTACGAGACACCGGCCTTCGGGGCCAGACCCTCCGGCGCACAACGCGCCGCGATTTGCGCCTTCGGCGCCAAGGCCTTCGGGCCGAGGAGATGCGA